GGGGGGGGGCAAGGAGAAGATAAATCCTGATATCCATTATAATATTGTCTTTGTGGAGTAGGCAGGTATCTTGTTGTGAGAGACTTGAAAAGGAACAATGAGAAAAGGACTTCAATAGTCTGCTAAAAAGCTGAGGTTTTATATTGCAGATAAGAGTTACATTTTCTTTCCTTTTCTTTTTTCTCTCTTGAATAGATCTAGGATAAGCATTAAAGAAATGCTGAACTATCTGAAAACAATTCTGTTAGCTGGCAGGCAGGGTTGGCAGCCAATTGGCACACAATGGGAGTAATTAGCTGTCCGATCCTCTTCTGCCCACTTCACTGAATTCCTGTTGGGTATAAACACTTTGATGCTGGGAGGAAAAACTCACATCCTCCTACCTACCTCCCCACACACTGGGGCTGTGGGCTGGGCTGCCCATTTGTGTCCCCAGCATCTGGTCTCTGCTCCATCTTTACCCTCAGTGAAGTGACACCGAGGATCCAAAGGGAAGGACAACCCTGCAGAGTATGAGATGATGGGAAACAGCGGTTGTTCCTTCTACTTATGCAGCTAAAAAGCACAAAGAGAGTTTGGGATCTTATGTCCTGCCTGGATTCACTTGTGTTGGCTGCATTTTTTGCCATGGTCAAAAGTTGACCTAAGGGAAATGAACTTGGCCACAGGTTCCCACCTCCACTATCCAGCACCTCTCCCCTTTCCCACAGATTGCCACCATCATGTCTTTGTGTGTGGCTTGCGTAGAGAACAGAGGGAAAGCAGACATGGGGATGTGTAACTGCATCAGCTTCCCAGGCTTAATTTCATTTTTAAGGCGTTATTTGCAGCTACTGAGTACGAGAATTAAAACTAATGTATTAACAGGATCTTGAAGAAGACAAGGTCTGCTTGCATTATGTTAGTGGAGACAAGTTCCCAGAGTGACTTCCACGCAGTAAGTCACAGGAAGTGCACAGCCTCTGGGATGTGGGTGGCCCTTTGAAGGATGAGGTTGTGGAGCAGAGAGCCAGCATTCCCTCTGGGAAAAGTTGTTTAAGTGAGGGAAAAATTTTCAAGATTCCAGAATTGTTCATCTCTCTCTGTTACTGGACTGAGAGAGATTAGTCAGGGCTTCACATGGAAATGCTGATGCCTGAGGAGGTTGGCTCTGTGCTCTCCCTCCAGATTTGCTCTCCCTTGTTCTGCAAAGCAAGCTCTGCTCTCTGAAAGGATTTCAAATGATCTTAGATCTGCTTTGCATATCAGTGGCCAAGTGCATCCGCTAATGTCCTGACTAATACGATTTTGGAAGTCTAGAAAGCGTCCTTCACATACCAAAAAAAGAGTATAAGTGAGCCCTAAATTGGATTATAGGACCCAGTGATACGCAGCCTCACCAAACCAGTCTTGCTTGGCCAACTGCAGGCAGCAGCAAACTGGCTGCCATGGCCAGGGCTCACAACCTGAACAGGCATTGCTCTGTCTTGTTGAGGGAACAGCAGCTGAACCTGTGTGCTGCTCAGCACCTTTGCAGCTCTCTTCTTCTCCACCTTTGTTTTATGATCCTGAATAAAATAAAGGTGGAAATCTAATCCTGAAAATTCAGGATTTAGATCAAATATTTTCAGAAAGTGGCAGTTCTCACACTTCTGGTTTGCTTTTCCTTTGACTGTGTGTTTTATTTCTGATAAACATCAGCTCAGTCAGTGCTGTTGATGGATCGTAAAGAAATGTTTATAGTGGAGGCCAGTCACAGTATTTACAGCTCTCACTGATCTCTCCCTTATAAATTAGAACATACAATAGGGTAAAATTTTGTTTCTCTTATAGCAGCCAGTTCTCCATAGTGGAAGAGGGCAGGTGGGGCTTTAGGACATGGCACACACAGCATGGTCTCATGCTGTGTGAGGCCCCAGCTTACCTGGCTTCTTCCTCATTACAGCCATGGTTCTGCTGTTTGTGGTGTGGATGAAGCGCCGGGAGAAGGAACGTCACACCAAGCAGCTCCTGATTGACCCCGAGGATGATGTGAGGGACAACATTCTGAAGTATGACGAAGAGGGAGGTGGAGAAGAAGACCAGGTGAGAAGAGCCATGGTCATGGCCAAGGACCAGCTGTGCAACCTGTACTCTCAAAAAGGCAGAAACCACATTATTTGCACTGAAGTACTTGCAAAGGGTTGTGTTGCTCTTGTTTATGCCCAGGCAGCTTTATTGGCTTCTCCAGTTTGTCATGGCCATTGGTGAGAGCCAGCTTTGGTCCAGGGGATTCAGCATGTCACCAGGACACTCTCCTGTGCAAGCAGGATAATGCCACATGGATTTTTCTACCCCATAGGCAGCTTCCTGGGAAGGGACTATCAATCAATCAATCAATCCATTGACACTGATGTTCAAACAATATTTCTGCTATTTAAGTAATTCAAATTGTTTATTTTACCATTCCCTACCAAAGATCTTAGTAAAACCAGCTGGCAGCTGCCATCCTTCCGAGACCCAGGGCTGCAGACACTTGCCTTGGCTTGCCAAAACCTAGAGCTAAGCATTTACTTAATTGTCTCTAATATGCCTTTAATTTCTTTTAATTTCCAGACGTGGTTTGTGAGAAATATCTAAATACATTTGGGGTTGTTCTTTCTCACCACGAAGCGTAGAGTGGCAAAGCTTCGCGTGGTGATGGAGCCCTGAGCCGCAGCCTGCCCCGATGTGTCAGCTTTTCTGCCACCTCCTTGCAGACACTCATGCTGATGTTGCATGAAAACTTCCATGGCCTGCACTCCTGGGATGTGCTGTCCCTCTGCCATGGATGTATTTCCTCAGCTAAAATAGCAAAGTTTTATCTCTTGTGTTGAAGTCACTGGTTTTTTTATTCCTACCTAACACAAGTGAAGAGCCCATGATACTCTCAAATACGATGTTCATGCCAATTATGTGACTCTGCAGCCTATAATGGCTTTATTCTTGCTTGCCTAAATGAACTGCATGGTTCATGGGGCTGAGCAGAGACTGCTGTGCTCTCTCATGGATGGTATCAGGAGTAGATGAAACCTCTGCAGCGTGTCCTGCCACAGAGGTCCCAGTGGCACCAGACTGGGTGAACCTGGCAAGAGCCACCTCAGGGAGCCAGGCAGGGACTTGGCCCAAAACTCAAGAAGTTCTTATGCAACAGAAAAATCCTTGCAATTAGCATTTCTTTTTTCTTGTCACTGACAAGTAATTTATATATATTGCTCCTGGAGATTCAATCATCCCCATCTGAGCACAAGAATAGTTTAAGCAGTAGAACAAAGTATTGTTAGAAGTATCTCGTTTTAGGCAACTACACTGTAGGCTTAAATATTTTAGAAAGGTTTCATTAAAAATAACAGCAAAGGAAGAGCAGCAAAACACCATTACCAACATGAATACATTTTTAATGAAATATTACCTGGTTCACATTCCTTGATAGAAACTAATTCTGTTGGGATTTTTCACAAGCAGAAAGAACATAATTACTTTGAAAGGCCTACATGCATAAATGCAATACACATTTCAATGTTTTTATTTCCGTACAAATGTAATTGGAATAATATGTCTGCCAGCACTGTGTCCTTATATTATATTATGTATTTCATAAAAAAATTATGCACGTACCTACACACGCACAAAACAGAGCCAATTTTTTATCCCAAAGATTTAGGCACCGTGCAAAATATTCAGAAAGTGTTTAAATATTTGATTTAACTTCTGTTTTAAGACACACTCTTAAGAGGTTAATGGTATGAGCTACTCAGAGGTCAGGTTCATCTGTAATTCAAATAGTTAGAGACACTATTTACCCAAGAGTAACATTTGCCATTGAACTTCAACTGAAATAGGATTAGACCCCTCAGCTTATTTGTACATTGGGCAAGTAGATGATCTGAACAAAAAGCTCTTGGTTTCACCCCGTGCGTTTCCATTTGTGACAGGATTATGATTTAAGCCAGCTCCAGCAGCCAGAGACCATGGATCACGTGCTGAACAAGACGCCAGGAGTCCGAAGGGTGGATGAAAGACCCATTGGTGCTGAACCACAGTATCCTATAAGACCAGTAATCCCACATCCAGGAGATATTGGTGACTTCATCAATGAGGTATGTTCTGTAGCCTGTCCTGTGTCACATCTCAGAAGCTCGAGCAGCCAGCTCACATCAGCTATACAACGTTTTTCTGGCTGCATGGACTAAGTGATGCTATTACTCACATGAGGAATCTGATCCAAGCAAAGGGAACAACAGGCATGAGCAAAGAATGCAGGACTTGGCCTAATAAAGGCACCAAGCCTGTAAAAAGCAAAAGTGCAAACAAAAAGCCTAAGATTTCTGACTCATGGATATCACAGGCACCATGCATTTCAGCATCCAAGCAGGATAATGTGATCCTGCTCTCTCTTGGGTTACTATGAATATTGCAGTTGTTGTCAGTAAAAGCATTGTCTGAACATGGACAAAGGAGTATGTCCCAGTGGGGAGACAGCTGCCTGGGTTGCTTAAAGCCAAAGGCCCATTTGGGGCTCCTGGACTTGTAATTACTTCACCAGTCTGTGTCTTCCCCTAGTAAGCTCTATTTGGTCTAAAACCACAAAGAGTTGGCAGAACGAAGAGACTGAGCTCACATCAGAGAGGGTTTCTTTATGTTATGTTAGATTACTGCTCCTTTATCTGCTTGTACAAGTATCTATCCATTTAGTATTTCTTATCTCATTTTTAGTTTTGAGTGATTGAGTGGTTACAAACCAATCAATGCATTATTTCCTCCGAGACAGAACACACCATCCATTTCCTAAGTCAGAAAAAATAAATGTTATAGCAATTGAATTCTATTGTTACATCCATTTCCTGCTGTGCTTTTTTCCTCACTTTCCTCATTAAAATTCCTTCTTCCTCTGTTCCTGCTCATCCTTCATGCTCACATTTACACACATCTGCACACGTGAAGAATCGCTGTGCGCATGTTGGTCAGAGACCTGCTCCATCTCCCCACACTCAGACTGGGATTTCTGAAGGTGTGAATGCAGAACAGTTTGGTTTGTTGCAGGTCTATCCCACTAGGCTTTTCCTGACACTGGGCTACAGGAAAGCAATTATTTTTCTCCATATCCCGAGGCCGTTTCCGTGGCCTGCCTGCGCTGCTGCCCACAACATGCAGGAGCAGCAATGCCTCCCAACCCCCTGCCCAGGATTTCACACCCCAAGTCTCTCCTAATTGCAGAATTTAGCTAGGAGTGTTTTTGGTGTTTTTTGTTTTCCATAAGGAATCAAAAGCAGCAAAATAAAAATTAATGGTTATTGGTAGGAGAGAAAGGTTGCTGTTCATTCCTTCATTGCCCAGGCTGGAAATGTTTAATGTGCAGCCCCAGAAAGGACATCCTGTCCAGAACTGAAAGCTTCTGAGATCCAGAGCTGGATCCTTGGAAGTAACTCCCTGCCACTCCATCTAGCTTGTTTTACAGAGGTGCTGGGAGTCAATGGATTTTCTTCGGGGGGCACAGGGAAGCCCCAGGACCCTTATTTTCTCACTGTCCTCATGTCGCTTTTCACCACCCTCTTTCAGCTTTGCTTACCCCTTACCCCAACACCCTCCCTCAGCACGCTCACCACCAAGCCCCACGGTGGGTATTCATTGCCATGTGTTTTTCCCCCTCCAGGGCCTGCGTGCAGCAGACAACGACCCCACAGCCCCTCCCTACGATTCCCTCCTGGTCTTTGACTACGAGGGCAGCGGCTCCACCGCCGGCTCCGTCAGCTCCCTCAACTCCTCCAGCTCTGGGGACCAGGACTACGACTACCTGAACGACTGGGGGCCCAGGTTTAAGAAACTGGCAGACATGTATGGGGGAGGCGAGGAAGATTAAACTGACCTCACGTTATTTAAAATTTAAAAAAAAAAAAAGGAGAAGAAGAACAAAAAAACCCCAACAAACAGTTAAAACAAACAAACAAACCCACAGACGACATTAACAAAAAGAGCCGATGCGGAAGCAAGAACTGTACAGATGTGGCAGCTTTTTTAATTAATATCCCCTGCTGACTGTACTGTTATTTTTAGTGGTGATACAGGAGATTTCTTTTTTTTTTCTTTTTTTTCCATTCCTTTTTTTTTTTTTTTCCAGAATATTGAGCTGTCTCGCATGAACACTTGTCTCTGCTGCAGGTTGTTTTTCTTTTTGTTGTGTTTTTTTGTTTGTTTCTTTAATGTCAGCTGGGATATTGCTCGTTTATCTGCTTTATGACTAAAGAGAGTGAAAGGCACTCTGTCTTAACTTGAATTTCTTAGAACAGAAGCACTGTTTTTAAAATATATATATATATATTTGAAAGTGCCTTTTGGTGCATGTATCAGATTCCCTTCAATCTCAGGAGTGATGAAAACAAACATACAACCATCCTGGGCAGCACTCCCTGTGACCCTAAGCCAGTTCTAGCTGGGAAGGAGTTAAGAAAAAGGAACTGTGGAGATTGTTTCTTTTTAGTTTTTTTTGTTTTGTTTTGTTTTGTTTTTTAAAGGGGTGACTCATTCTGAGTGGAAGAGGACGGGAGCTGGGAGGGGTGGAGGGAAGGTGTTTTGAGTCAAAATCTTAACAGCCATCTTTAAGCCTCAGCAGGTGGTGAACTAGTCATCATGTTGTATATAATTCAGTGTTACCAGATGCAAAATACAGACTAGGGGCTCTGCAGGCACCTGGTCACACTCGATGTAGCTGCATAGAACTATAGTATCAACACAGCCTTTGGTTATTGCAGAAATCTCCCACAGCCCTTGCCTAAACCCTACAAAGTAAATGGTGAAATGACCAAAGGCCCATTTGTTTGTTTTTATGCTCTCGGTGTGTTTCGGCTCACACGACCTCTTGAGTGCTGCCAGTCCCAGCTGGGTGAGGTGGTGATGTCCCCCAGCTCCCAGGGGAGCAGGGCAGCCGATGTTGTTCCCTGTCTCAGGCAAGGTTTGTGCCGTGGCCCCGCTCGAGGCCGGGGCAGTGCCAAGGGCAGGAACAGCTTATCAGCACTTTTGCCATCTGTAAGTATGAAGTTAGTCTAGTATTAATGCCTCAGAGCATTAGTAGCCAAAGCTCAACAACATCGTGTAACTCAGCTAATGTGTGTCCTTTCTCTTTTGATGGGTAGGCGCTGCTCTCTGTAGTCAACGTGGTTTTTTTGGAGAAGAAGTGGAACGAGGGCCTATTCAGTATCTTGTGGTTAATATGCTCAAGCATTGCCAAGTAAGCAAGAGGTTTTGCAGCATCCAGGCGTAATTCAACATCAGTATTATAAATGGTAGCATACTACCTAGTTTATATGTAGGGTCAGTTTAACCAATAACAGGTAGTTATTAGCTTTTTTTATTACATTTTTCCTTTACTGATTTGGACTAGTGGGTTTATGTCTAATGTTTGTAAAATGATTTAGACTGCATGGATGTGTAATATAAACCACATTTAATGGATTATGAGCCACTTAATTAATGTGCTATGAAATCTTGGATTACCTGTGTTTTATATTCTGCAGACGATTTTGCAGTGGGTTCGCTAAAACTTGTAAAAGTGCTTAGATATATTTTCATTTAAATCCAAGAACGTGCACAGTATTGGAAGGTGATTATCCAGGGGATAATCACACTTTTTTTGATATCTTGATTAATTCTCAAGTTGAATGCTAAGAATTAAGGGGGGGTGGGGGCGGGGGGAGCGAGCGCATGCACACGAGAGAGCGGGAGAGTGAGCGGACGAGAGCCTGCGGTGATGAGTGGTCCTTTCGGAGGGTATACTAGGCTGCAAGATCGTCTCTATAGATTTTTGAAATGCTCCTAGTGCATTTTATATTTCATTGTATCATATTTTCTATAAAATGCAATTTCTGTAAATTAATGAGCATTTGAAATGTGTCTTGTATGAAGTGGAATGTGGTAAAAGTCTGCCCCAGGGAACTCCAGCGTTACCGGTACATTCTTAACAACCGAGGATGTGATTTTTCTCTTTTGTCTTGGTCGGTCTCTTGGTGGGTCACTTTGCCCTTTCACGACTTGGAGAGTGAACACACTCTCACCCACGTTTCTTGAGGAAACCAGGAGGTGATGGCTTGGATCTCGGGAGAGGGAAGGCTCCAATGGCAGCAGCGAGCAAGGACATTGCTCCATGGGCACAGGCCAGCAGCTTCGGCCGGGATGAAGCACAGTGCCTGGCAAACTGCCAGCACCTGGCACCTTTGTAAACTCCTGCTCTGTAGTTGGGAACTCAGTCGTCTTGTGTGACCACTAGGAAAGTCTTAGTTTGCTTCTGCCGTGTACCATCCACCTCCTCTGGTTCCCCTCCAGCAAACTTTGCAGCCCCTATCACCTGCTGCACTGCCCTGTGGCCTCTGCTCCTCACCCACAGGCAGTTCTTCCCCTTCTCCTTCAGAAAAGCCACGGGCTGGAGTATTTCACCAACTGGGCAGAAGTTTCACCTCTGCAGAAGCTGCCTGATCACAGCAGAAAGTAGTGAATAATAAAAATGCACTTAGTGTTTCTGGCTGATGAGTACCCGTCAGTGTTTTGTGTTTGTAACCATAACCTCACCACCAATTCAGGAGAAGGAAGTGGCTCAAGGGCCAGGGCAGTGCTGGTGGTTCTCCATATCCACATAGCTCCTGAGATGCTGGTGCAGATCCCACAGTGCCGGCCAGCTGGGTCTCTGCTGTGAAGCCATGCTGTGCCATCTACCTGGCACTGCTTACCCAAAAGCAGTAGCTAAATCCCTGCCCTGGAGCTCTTGGTGCTTGATGTGTGATGGGTGGTGGCTGGCAGGTAGGGCAGGGGACAGCAGCAGTGCGGGGCCAGTCAGCAGTGTCCATCTCCTGCTGCCACCCAGGGCTGTGTGAAAGGAGCTGCTTCCTACTTGGCAGTCGTGGAGATGCTGTCAGATTTCAGCTTATCTAAACATTTCAGGATTTTAAGAAGGTTTATGCAACCCAAGTCAAACAAAAATGTTTGAGTCATTAAAAATAATCCAACCTGTTTGCATTGGAGACTTTTTTCTTTTTAAATCAGCAGGTATTTTTTCTGCAGCATTTGCAGACCAGCCATTCCAGGCCCACAAACCTGTATATCAAACCAACTCGTTTCTTGTCTTTCGACCCAGTTCCACTCGGTCTCTCCCTGCAAGACCTGCTCCTTCTCCCTCCTCCTCTTCCTCCTTCTCCTCCCTGCACCTGTCACCACTGAACTTTACAGTCCCACAGGTAGCAGCAGCGTGAAGACCCTTTCATCATGGTGGGCCCTGCAGAAGGTAAGCGAGGAGCACATGACACAATGAAAATAGGCTATTTTTTTGCTTGTTAATATTACAGTTTTGTAACCCAGCTGAGAAATCTTACATTAATCCAAGAGGTCCCATTTTAAAGATGACAGTGCCATTGCTTTGACCCCATGGCTGTGATATAGTGTTGCCATTCACAGCTGGAGGTGACAGAGGCTCCCAAGGAGCCAGGGCAGGGAAATGGTGACTTTGACAGTCGCTGATTTTTTTCCTATGGGCCACAGAAGTGGTTAATGTACTGGGACCAGAAACCTTGTTCTCTAAGTAATCTAAAGTACTAAACTTTAATTAAAGAAGGGGTGTCCACACAGTGGAGCCCCTGCTCTTTGCAAGCCACAAGGTGATAGGGAAGGAGATGCTTTCAGGTAGGTGGACAGGAGCCTGTCCCCAGAATGCCCTTATTATGCCCTGTGGCCCCTGTGCCCCACAGCAGTGCCAGGGGACACCACTGTAGCTCTCTGTGCTAAGAGATTGGGACGATGAGCTCCCAGGGTCACACCAGGTACCTTCTGTGGCCTCCCTACCTCCAAGGCTTGAAGACTCCACCTCCCTGGGCCAGGGACCATGCTGGTCTGATGTCCTTGCTGTACACAGGGGCAGCTCCAGCAGAACATGGCCCCACAGCCCCTGGGCAGCCCCATCCAGTCTGTTTATTATGTAGCCTGTAAATAGGGAGAAGCAGCAGTCACAGAAATGCTTTGCAAGGCAACGAGGAGGATGTTCAGCAGGTAATTAATGGCAGTAGATAGGCAAGTCCCTTCTAGGTGTCCTGTGTGCTGGTTATAGTTTTGCTTCTGGTTTTGCATTTTTCTGTTGTTTTTTTTTCCTCCCTTCCTTTTTGTTGGACCAAGCGATGCCGTTGGTTGTTAAGGAGGTGGTGGGGAGTTCACTTCCCTGCAGCTGAGCTGCTCTGGGCCTCTTTCAGTGTTGGTTTTTTTTCAGGGGGGATAGTTGGATCCACCAAATCCAGCCTCCAAGAGTAAGTGGGAGCTAGGAGGTGGCTGTATCACCTGCAACTGCTTTGCATAGGGTAGACATTCAGGCATTGGAAAATTATAGTGGTCAGTGCAAGGTCTGTACAACATAATATGCCAAGATTGCAACTTTGTTTAGTCTTAAAAAACATATTAAAGGTAAAATACGGGACTTTTATTTGTGATGTCTTCTGGAGCTCTTCGTTGTGACTGTGGAAAAAAAATGGGGGGAATGCCATATGAATGCATATGTTTAAAACAGCAGCTAGAAAACGTGGGTGTCTCCCACACAAGGTTAACTCAGTTTCATGAGATAAATAGAAGTTCTCCCCAGTACACACCAACAGTTGCTTACACAACGTGTACATAATGTAGTTAGTGCTTGAAGCTACAAATCACGTAGGGGAAATAATATAACATAAAAAACAACCAACAGCAACCTATAGATGTATAATTGGAGCACTTTCCTCTTTTTTTTTTTTTTTCTTTAAATTTCAATTCTGATTCTGCATGTTTCCTTTAATGATGGAGAAGCTGTGTAGCAGCCAGCATGACTGTGGTTGTTCTCAAGGAAGACTTCTGCTCTTCTGCTGTGTTCACGCTGAAGCGCAAAGGCCGTTTGCGTCCGTT